AACAGATACCACTCTTCCGTCCAAAACATCTCCGTATAGGTTCTGAAACACATTGCCAAGAAATCCAATGCAGCATGATTCAACTCCATTCATTCATATAAAAGCCTTTAATGTTTACTCCTGAACCGTTACAACTTCTTTAAAGAACTCGGTGTCCACCTTGTTTGGCCTTCGTCTTTTCTTTGGCCCACCTGGCTGCACGGCATCAACTTCCACCTCTTTCGGGACAGTTTTTAGTACTGTAATTGTACACTTGCGAATCTTAAGGTTCGTCATCGGGGTCACCGCAATTCCGCCGTTGCTACGGTGGGCTCCACATTTTCGTCCGTAGCTTCTGTAATTGAGTCCAACAATTTCTATTGGTTTTAAAAGTACTTTTTCTAATAGCATTTATCGAAATTAAGAAAATTCAGACTTTCGCTTTTATTATTTGTCGCTTTTGTTTTCCGAAATACGGAAACCTTCACAATATATCTCCCTCCAAACAAGTAGAAAAGGAACTACATAAGTACCATCACCATAAGGAAAGATTATAGACTTTGAAATCAATCTGGCATATGGAATCTGTGTTCCTGGCAAATTTTCATCAACATCTGTTACTTTCCAGTTGACACCACATTTCAAAATGATATGAGCCACATCATTGTCAGTTAGCTTGTTGTCTTCTCAATTTTCTCCAAAATCTCAAACATTTCAGGAAAGTAGCATTTTGCATACCCTTCAAAATTTTTGATAATGGAATGTCAATCTCGTTTGCCGTCTCTCATATGGTTAAACAGCGCCTCATGTGCCAAGAACATCAAACTTGGCACATGATATGTGTAGTGAATCAAAAACATTGACAAATCATCATGGTCAATTCGGATTGCAAAGTCGTCTGAGCGATTTCTAGCATCAGTCAACTGATCCCAGTGACTCGAATAGTCTTCTTCTTTAGAAAAACCAATGCAAAGACATGACAAGAGGATCAATGAGCGGCATGTTAGTCGTTCTCTCGATCCCGCCATTATGAGACCCTGCGCAAATACACAATGGATTGCGCCATCCAGCCAATTGACTCAACAACAATGAAAGCCAAGTGTGATTTACTTCATCTGAGGCACGAATATCTGTCTTTTGCCATGAACTAGGTCTAATGCTATCCAAAACAAACACAGGGGAATAGTCGTAGTCGATACCAAATGCAATGTTTGTGAGTCTAATGTATTCATCGAACATTTCATCAACACTGAAACTACGACACTTTTGGAACCAGCGACTCAAAGACTTGTTGAACCACCCTTCAGGCCTTTGTGGACTTTTCAAGTACTTTTTAATACTTGAGAAAGTAATACTTATGAAGTTGATACCGTCAACGCTCGTGCTACGAAATAATTTACACAAGTGTTNATATGGAATCTGTGTTCCTGGCAAATTTTCATCAACATCTGTTACTTTCCAGTTGACACCACATGTCAAAATGATATGGGCCACATCATTGTCAGTTAGCTTGTTGTCTTCTCAATTTTCTCCAAAATCTCAAACATTTCAGGAAAGTAGCATTTTGCATACCCTTCAAAATTTTTGATAATGGAATGACAATCTCGTTTGCCGTCTCTCATATGGTTAAACAGCGCCTCATGTGCCAAGAACATCAAACTTGGCACATGATATGTGTAGTGAATCAAAAACATTGACAAATCATCATGGTCAATTCGGATTGCAAAGTCGTCTGAGCGATTTCTAGCATCAGTCAACTGATCCCAGTGACTCGAATAGTCTTCTTCTTTAGAAAAACCAATGCAAAGACATGACAAGAGGATCAATGAGCGGCATGTTAGTCATTCTCTCGATCCCACCATTATGAGACCCTGCGCAAATACACAATGGATTGCGCCTTCCAGCCAATTGACTCAACAACAATGAAAGCCAAGTGTGATTTACTTCATCTGAGGCACGAATATCTGTCATTTGCCATGAACTAGGTCTAATGCTATCCAAAACAAACACAGGGGAATAGTCGTAGTCGATACCAAATGCAATGTTTGTGAGTCTAATGTATTCATCGAACATTTCATCAACACTGAAACTACGACACTTTTGGAACCAGCGACTCAAAGACTTGTTGAACCACCCTTCAGGCCTTTGTGGACTTTTCAAGTACTTTTTAATACTTGAGAAAGTAATACTTATGAAGTTGATACCGTCAACGCTCGTGCTACGAAATAATTTACACAAGTGTTCCACCATCAATTTCTGAAAGAATGTTTTAACATCTTCAGCGCTTAATATTGCATAATAATCAATAAAAATCGTAGTCGACTATTATGCTGCATTGTCCTGCTCTAATAATATCCGGTATTTTAAAACGCTCCGGAACCCTTTGCGACCCAAAAACACTCAACAAAAACGTCTCGCCCATTCCTCGACTCGTAGTAATGATTACTGGACGATACGTCTGACCGAATAAACGATTCTGAACACATTCATTGATCTTCTTCAGGGCTTCATCTTATGCAATCAAATCCATATGCTCTACAAGACCCGAGCATAGAAAACCGAAAAAAATTCAAGAATATAACTTTTGGGATTGGAAGGGGGATGATTTTGTTCAGCTACACCAAAGCGCTTAGTGACCGACGTTGTATTTGGCNTCTGAACACATTCATTGATCTTCTTCAGGGCTTCATCTTTTGCAATCAAATCCATATGCTCTACAAGACCCGAGCATAGAAAACCGGAAAATTCAAGAATATAACTTTTGGGATTGGAAGGGGGATGATTTTGTTCAGCTACACCAAAGCGCTTAGTGACCGACGTTGTATTTGGCATTACCTTCATCACGATAATAAACATTATGTCTTAACGGATGAAGCTCATCGTAAACCTCGTATACACGCCTAATAATAGTGTCCTCCTTCTTGGAAACCTCGGCCCACTCTGTTTTTGAACGCTGAACCATCTGTTCGAAAGTGACGACGCCTTTCAACAAATTATTGGCTTCTTTCTGAAAACCTCTTCTTATTAGTAATTCAAGTTAACGTTCGTTTGTCAGTTGCTGCTGATGACTCATTGCGAAAATTCAAAGCTCAAGAGGATCTTGCAAAGTATGAGCTGGCACACCAATACCTTCATTATCAATAATAAAGCCGTCCTTCCTCTCCATAAGCGTCAATAAGAAAAATCGTAAACTTGCGGGAATGTTGGATGCACGAATGAGAGGCTGTTTGAGATGATTGTGGCGAGCTTGAGAAGATCGAAAACACGGCAAAAACTTGTTACTTTAAACGCTAAATCTGAAAGCAAAAACATCTGGTTATCTTTCAAGTTATGTTCAAACTTCGGATCACGGATTTCATTCCCAATCTTCTTTTTTTAAACTCTGAAAAATTATTATTTTTGAAAACGTCAATGTGGCCGAGTGGTTAAGGCGACAGATTCGAATTTTTGAATCATCTGTTGGGATTTTCCCGCGCAAGTTCAAATCTTGCCGTTGACGGCCGTTTTTTATTATTCCGTGTAGATATTCCCTTTAATGATACTCTTTTTATTCCTTTTTGTGAAGTAGTTGTGTAATCTTCTCCCCCAAGTAGTCGATATCTTTTTGCCGCTCATAGAAATGCGAACAGCCTTCTATGCGATGAACATGATCGGTACCAAAGATATTCTCGTAACCTTTTAAATCATCAACTGGAATAACTTCATCTGCAGTACCATGAAACAATTCAACAGAGACAGGAACACTGCCACTATCAATTTTCGCTTTTAAACTTTTGGAGATGGCGCTCATGTTCAAAGCTGCTCGTTGTTCCAATCCTTCTCTTGTCACAACATACATTTTCTCTTCATTACCACGAACTTTCATCGGCTTCCACTCAAACTTCCCGTCTCTTTCCAGACACGCCATTTGCTCTTTTGTGAAACGAGTCGCTGGTGTCCCAGTCATATCAAAACGACCACTGATCCCAACAATCAATAACTTGGATGATATTCTATCAGCAAATGTATCTGCATAAATCAATACATCGCTTGAAGCTTTAGAATGACCACAAACTGCCACTACAGGACCATGACTCTTTAGAAAATTATGAGCAAGATGTTGTGTAATGTAGAAAATGTCTTTAGCTTCTTCCTGGTAGTTACCATATGAAGTTTCACCAGAACTGTATCCGTTACCTCTAAAGTCAAATCTACAGAAAGAGTATTGACTCAAATGGGATTGAAAGTATTCTTCCAATTTCCTAATGACCTTGGACTCCTTGTTATTCAAAAGACCATGACATAGAACTATGATACCTTTAGAACCTTCGGAACCTGTCAATACTCCAGAAAGCTCAATTCCCTCAGAAGTTGAAACTACAAAGTCCCTTTTGATCATTCTTCAACTGGCTGTTGTTTTACTGAAATGATGAACGTGATACACCAAGCTGCAAAGAAGAGGTTCGTACTGATGGTAGACGGAAAGGAATGCCTGTTGGAATATTCACTAACAAAAACACCAAAAGCAGCGACTTATAATCTTTTCCACACAGAAGTGCCTCCTGAATTACAGGGCAGAGGTCTTGCAAAGATATTGGTAACTCAAGCTTTGGATCAAATAGCAGCAGAACAGGGACAGGCAAAGATTGTCCCATCCTGCTCATACGTTCAAAAAGTCGTAAAGGAACATCAGGACAAATACAAATCACTTTTATAAGAATTTCTCATGGTTTAACACAACCGGGACAGTTTGCTTTCCACATTGAAGAACCATCGAAATAAATTTCCTTCTTCCAAATCGGCGTTTCTGCTTTCAATCTGTCGATTGTGTACTCAACCGCTCTTATGGCGTCCTTTCGGTGCTTCGACGTTGCTGCAATCAGAACAGAAGTTTCCGTAACTGGAACCAAACCTATTCGATGGATAACGATGATATCAAATAAATTAAACGATTCCTTTGCTTCTTTGCATATATCCTGTAACGATTTTATGGCCATTGAATCGTATGCTTCGTATTCCAGCGTAACGACTGTCTTGTCCTCAAATGTATCACGTGTCGTCCCAAGAAACACGGAAGTCGCGCCAGATTTGGGATTATGGGGCAGATTATTTAATGAGTCCATTGTTATTTTATCAGCTGTTAGTTTCACTGTAATTCCATTCGTATCAACCGTCATTTTGGTTACCAAACAAAATAAAGTATTTATGAGTAACATTTATTAAACTGTTGTCTCAAATGGTGCCTCTTCTTTTGGTAATTCCACTTTTGCTTTCCATAATCTGCCTTGCTCAAGTAAATCAATCAAGTTTAGAACCAAGCGAACTTCAAGCTCCGCTCTTCTTTGGAATAAGACGCTTAAAGCTGACAAGCCTGTTCTAGGATTCTTCATTTGATAATCTGCGCCACCTGCAATCAGCAGTTTCACTTTGTCTAGCATGTTAAGTTCAATTGCTAAATCCAAAGGAGTTCTGTTCTTTTTATCTCTGAATTCCAATAGTTTCTTATCAAACCTCTTGTGTTCCAAAATCAGGCCCAATACTTCGAATGATCCATAGTGTACAGCGTGATGTAGTAAATTGCCTTTTAGACAAGACGTGTCAGGGAACGACCAGTCTAAATCAGGATGATCCAGCAGCAGTGTGATAATTCTTCGCTGTTTACGCTGTTGTGCCTGACACATTGGAGATACCCATATTTGTTTCTGATCATCGCGGACTGACCATTTTAGTCCGTCTGATGGAATCAGTTTGTGATGTCTAGAACACCAAATAGATCGAGAAGATGCAACCAAAGATTTCATGTACGCTTGCGAAGCATAGTGATTTTCATAGTAAACAGCCAACTGAAGAATAGTTCGATTAGCTCCTTCACACCACCACCATTCCATTCGGAAATCGTCCCTTGGTTTTGGCCCTTGAATCGACAAGTATCTCGTGAATCGTTCTTGTTCTGACTGCAACAAGAGTATCGTGACTTCATCAATACGTTCCAATAGTGAAGAATGATGAAGATGATCGCATAAATGTAAAGATATCCAATAAGCCAAAGGTTTCAATGCAACACAGCCTTTCTGATCCTGCAATGCCGGAATAGAGAATGCAGGAACAACTACAACAGGAGATATTGTGTGAGGTAGACCCAGAAATGTTCTCAACAAGTCAGGGTGCAGATTATCAACAGCCCAAGCGTACGGTGCCATGGCCAATTGTCCTGAAGTGCGCATATCTGTGTTTAATGAGAATATAGAATCGCCAAGAGATGCAGAACTTAATAAAGAATCTTGTGTGGGTTCCACTTTCAGAGGCATAACTTTTCTGTAATCTTTCTTTTGATGCGGCAAAGTTTCATTTCCAAGTGCCAACCAAGCAATACCGCGAGTGACTTTATGGAACAGCTCCAATTCCAAAGAGCTTTTACTCGGAAACACGGGAGAAGTCAACGGAACAAAGAACGACTCTGCATAATCTACGGATTCCAGGGCATATCGCTTTCTTTCAACAGTGAACACGGGCATATACGGATTGATGTCCGGTCGCTTGCTGAGTATCTCTGCGCATTTCTTGAAATTTCCTTCTCTAGCCGCTGCTTCTAGATCTGTAATATCTGCAGAGAAGAATTGGCCCATTTGAAAGAGTTGAAAGTTTAAGAAAGAAAAGTCTATAAAGGAGTGCACTCTTTCAGGGGTGATTGTGATGCTTGATCCACATGCCGCGATTCAATACACACACGTTAACACTTTGAAATGATAGCATAGTTTTACAAGTGATAATGACGAAATGTTGCATTAACTGCGAAAGCTGTGGCAGTACCAGATGTGAGTTAGGCAATTAATTGAAAGGATGGCGAAACAAGTTTTGTGACATATTTGATGGCTACGGATACGCAATTGAAGACAAACATCTCTAATGACATAGTATCGGTTTTGATCTACGTTGCATTGCGATTTACACCTTAGTGCGATGCTATTTATATAAATGATCATTTGGTCGATCATACTATTGCTACCTCTACTTCAGGCTATAGGAAC